AATCAAGGAGTACTGTCAAGCTTCCACCTCCACCCAAATCCATCCTTTTACTGCACTCAGACTCTCCTACTCAGTCTGAGTAGGACAGGTTCTACCTTCTTACTTCTCTGTGTATATTATGTTATGCATAGGTCCTTGTTATAAGCTCATAACTATTTTGATGTTTTAAAAAGCCTTTGCTGATTTGATATTTTAGACATGAGGCTTGTTGTTTTTCATGGCTTTGTAGGCATAAAATTTGTTTGATGTTTTGATGTGTGGCCATGATAGATCTGCTGCTATCATCTGTTTTGACAACCCATGCTTTGTTTGTTTTTGCTGTTTGTAAGACTTACACTCTGCTGTTTTCTAATCTGCTGTTTTAAGAAGTTTCCATTTTAATTTATTGTTTTAAACTTTGGTATAGTGTTTGTTTTGCTGTTTGCAATAGCTAGTTGTTGTTTTGCTCTTTTGCCTTATCATTTGCTGTTTTCCTTTGCTGTTTTAAAGCAACTTCTATTCTGTTTTGCTGTTTTGAATAATAGTCATTTCACTTCTGTTTGCCAAAACAGAATCCATTAGCTCAACTTCTCTATTCTTTTATTTGCTGTTTAAACATAGTTGCTAATTTTTGTTTTGCTGTTTTTAGATAGCACTTTAGTTTCATATTACTGTTTGGGCATAAGGTAATGCTATACCTATAGTCTGTCGTCCAAATTTGCTGTTTTTAGATCCAGTATCATGTTTGATTTGCTGTTTTAAGAATTTTCCATTTTAATTTGCTGTTTTGAAGTATTAGCTTTGTCACTTCTGTTTGCCAAAACAGAATATATTGGCTCAACTTTTCTTTCATTTTGTTTGCTGTTTTAAATTATAGTATGGTGTCTGTTTTGCTACCTTAGGCATTTGCTATTTTGCTGTTTTTATATAGAGCTTGTTGTTGGCATAACCTTTGGATAAGTTTAAGTTCCTGATTTGCATTAGATATATCAGTTAACTGAGTTTTGGTGCATAATTGTTTTGCTATTTAAAATCTGCTGTTTTTAGATGTTTTAGGACTGGTTTGTTGTTTGATTTTGCTATTTTAGTAGTTTTTGATGTTTTAAGTATCATGGAGTCCTAGCTGTGCATTTTTCTTTGTTATTTTCATTTAGGATTGCTTTGCTGTTTTAACCCTCTTGTTGTGATTTGCTGTTTTTAATATCCATACAGTCCTTCTCTTGCATTTGCAATTGTTTTCATCTCACAATTTGTCTTTGCTGTTTTAATCTTGTTAAAAGGCTCATGCATCTCACTGTTTTGAACCTCTTAATTGATTGTTTTCTTTATCTCACTTGAGATATGTTTGCTATTTTAATGAGTTCCTAACCACTCATGTTTTGCTGTATAAAATTCTTTTAAGTATGTTTTCCTATTTTCGGGATATCATATAGTTCTTTGCATGCACTGCTTTTGCTGTTTTGATATTGACAGATTGCTATTTGCACAGCTGATCTGATGACTCTGAGGGAGGACTTTGGTTGATGTTCTTACCTCCCTCCTCAATGCTAAATACAGTTTAGGATGTATCATGAGAGGACCATGGCACTCCCATTGTCCTGTTCTATTTTGATCTTCTTCATGGCAGAACAATGGCATTCCCATTGTTTGGTCTCATTTAGCCTATCTCATAGTAAAACAATGGCAGTCCCATTGTTTGGATTCATATGGCTATGTTGTCTGATAATACAGTCCTCTGGTTGACTGTTTTGATTCAAAGCTCATCCTTGGTACCA